TTTGATCTGACATTCTTATTGCATATAATATATATATATATATTCTTTTTTCTTTGGTATAAAATTAAATCATATTAATACTAATTAATAATTAATAAATTATATATCAATTAAAAAACTATAAAAACTATATATGTATGAATTTATTACATATGAATTAGAAAATCATGACAAATTAGAACAATCAAATTGTACAAGTTAAAAGTCTCATTTTAAAAATATAATAACGCAATTTTTAAAAGATATTTAAATTTTAAATAAAAAATACATTTCTCTAAAGTTTATTAAAGAGATTCATTATAATTTTTGAACAATTACAACAACAACATACCCCGTATATTCCCAACTAGTTAGAGTCTGGAAATCAGTTGTAGGCAGACCTTACCCTTGTAATTATAGTTAAGAATTTTATTTTCAAAATATTTTTTTCAACTAGCGCCCGTGCAACCACCTAAGAATTTCATAATAATTTTTTTAACCAACACCCATGAGATCACATGTGAGTTACTAGTGAGCATTGTAAGTAATTTGCCATGCATATATTGTGCATAGAATTTCTCATCAGGCCACATAATTTAAGTAGGCCTAGTTTGTGCCAAACCCAGTCGTCCGGACCACGAGGCCATTCCATGAACCGAGCTCCAAAGAGTCGAAGACAGAATAAAAAGAACAATCAAACCCATGGAAGTATTCAATTAGACCATCATAATCAATCAAATCCATGGAAGTATCAAACTAAACCATCATAAAGCAAACGCATCAACTGATTTCAAATTTGGAAGAGAACAAAATATGTCACTATCGATGCCTTTAATCTGACATTAATTCGAAAAGAAGATACCAAAATCAAGGAACCATAGTTAAAGGAAAACAAAAAACAGTAGAAAATGAAAACCAAATTCTGATGTGCTACTGATGGTACAACCTTACAAAAAAACCTGATTCTGGTTGTCATAACAGGCGACTGTTAGCAAAGTTAATGTGTGCCAACTGAAATAGTATTATTGCCATCCACCTTCTTAGTTCGTTTTTGATTTAGAGGCCCTCCTCTTCGATGACCTCCTTGGAAGTGAGTTCTTCATTCCAATGAAAAAGAGCAATGCCCCAAGCAGTGCCAAGTTCTACCCAAAAAGATAAAAAACAACTAGTAATTAAGAACTCGAACTCTAGTTTATTAATCAAATATTTAAACTTGCTAATGTCATTTTTGTACAAACCTGAGTGAATTTGATAAATAGCTGAGCGAATTCTTTCTTGTCAGCATCGTAATTGTAGAAATCGTACAAGATGGGTGCCAAAATTGCTTGATGCAAAAGCTGTATATACATGAGACACTCTTAGCAAAAGTGCTTATTAGTTAGAATATCAAAATCTATATAAAAGAGACGTTTTTGCTGAAAATAGAAAAGGCATATTTCCTGCTAAAATTTTATACGAAGTATATAAAGTTTAAAATAACTATTTAATATTTTATTTTTACATTTTTTTTATTTCTTTGATTAAGTTTCTTTTGATTTATTTGATACTCATAATTATGTAGTCCTATTAAAGTATAGAAAGTCGAATTTTAAGTGTTTGGAAGTTTATTTATTCATTTTCTTAATTATCTTTGATTAAGTTTCTTTTCATTTATTTGGTACTCATAATTATGAAATTGATTGATTAAATCTTTGTTATGTTGAAATACTGGTTGGATTTCTTTATATTCGTACCATATTATAATGACACAATTGATAAATAAGATTATGAACCACCAATATCGAAGCGGAACTCCGGGTTCATATATATGGAGGATACATAACGTCATCATTTCCATACACAAATTGTCATTTATTATATCTTTATGTTGTAAATGTCATTTTAATTTATTTATCTTTTTATCTTTATGTTGTAAATGTCATTTTAATTTATTTATCTTTTTATTCAAGAATTTTTACATATATTTGCCATTTTAATTAAATGTACAAGTTATAAACATTGTTCCAATAACTTCTGTTTTTATTACATAAAACATCCAACCCGTGTATTGCATAGGCATGTGCGCTTATAAGCAAATAGAAAAACAGGTAACAGTTTCATATGAATACCAGGATTAAAGCTCCAACAGAGTTATCGAATATGAACAACAGGCTCCCAACTGACTTCATTATGATGGCTCCCAGTATCAAATGTTTCATCTGAAAAATAAATTCAAACACACGTTACATGCATATGAGGCAATACACGCTTTCACCATTTAAAAGGATAAACAAAAAAAGATGATTAAAATACTACCCTTGAAATTTACTTAATTCCCAAGAATAAAAGTTTCTAAAACACACAGACAAATAACGCACAAACAAATGTCTGCATATTTGATTTTTTTAACAAAAACTTGTTTACTTTTCTTTTCCACTTTTTTTTTTTTTTTTTTTTTTTTTTTTT